ATCACAGCATGTGTTTGCCTGCCTGGCGTACTCAGAGATCTCTGCACACGATCTCGGAATTTTCCTATGTGGCTCAGCCTCACAGAACTTTGCATTTTATCACTATGTCTGGCCCCCAATTTTGATTTTTTTAATTTGTCAGAAGTGAGGGCTGGCAGGTAGCTTGGTGGTTAGGAGTGCAGGACTCCCACATAGCCTACCATGGTTCGAGTGCCAGACCTGACGACTTCCTCTCTCTCTCTCTCTCTCTCTCTCGCTCTCTCACCCACACACACTCCCTCTTTTTCTCTCTCTCTCTCTCTCTATCCCTCTCTGGTCCAAATTAAAATAAATACATACATACATAAATACATATGTACATAAATTAAAAAAAAAAATTTGCCAGAAGGTACTTGTGCTTGCCAGAGAGAAAGAGAAAAAGACAGCACCTATCAATGGGGCCTGGTCTTGCTACAATCCTTTCTCTATCCTGTCAGGATTTTGGACACACACTTGCCCAGCCTCCAGAAGCCAGGATTCAAACTGGTTAGCCGTGTGGGATCTGGCTTCTTAACCATTAGGCGAAGCCAACCCCCGATTTTTAAATATTGGGTCATTGGAAAAATCATGGCGCATTTTTCTTTTTCTTTCTTTTTTTTTGGAGAGATTTTTGCTATAGGGTGTGTGCTCTCGCCAGACAGACAGAGACAGAGAGACAAAAAGTGAGAAATCACCCCCGTGAGGATGGCTATGCCACAGTCCCTTCTCCTCCATTCTCCTCTCGGAATCTTGGGCACACACACACACGCCTGGCATGAGTTTTAAGCCACCGGGTCCGAGACTCGAACTGCGGTCAGCTACATGAGAGCCCAGTGACATGGCCATTACAGTAACTGCTGGTCCCATGACGTATTTGTCTTTGCAAAAATGTGTCATGAGTTTTCCAAAGACCAAAGCAAAGATATTTTTGTTGGGATTTTTTTTTCAACAGGATAAACCTTTCCATGGCAAAATGTTATTTTATGTAAAGCTTAAGCACAAAAACACCTGCTGATTACTGGAGGGGGCACAAAAACAGCGAGGGATCTCAAAACTTATGGGAAGGGAAATGTGCTCTGCCGCACCACCACCCCAGCCCACCCCACCCCCATAACACGTAATGCGCTCCTACAAGGTGGGTGTCTGTCAGACGGCTGAGTCCTGGAGTTTTATCTCGTTAAACCACAGTAGTTTGCAGGGAGTCTTCTCCAACTGGAATCCTTGAATTACATGAAACAATTCCAAGGATTCTTCTGACCTTCAGATCCTGTCCCTATGTACTCCACCTCTCTCCTGCAGGTCCTGTTTCTCACTTCTCTAAACAGCCTGCTCCTTGTTATGGATTAGAGATTTTCTCCTGTAGAAATGGTGACCTTTGCTCCATAGCAAGCACAGAATTAGGGTGGAGCATCTATGCCTTTGTTGAGACTCAGCCTAGTTTCATTTTTATTTCCATGTCTGTTCAGTTTTTCTAAAGGATTCAGCCAGTTGCCTTAGTCTCAGAATGTGTAAAATGATTGCTTAGCACGATACAGTGAGGCTTAATCATTTACTACCCAAAGACAACACAAAGTAGAAAAGTTGAATAGACTACTGGTGAAAGGTAATATTTGAAATCCTGGGATAGAGATTGGGAAAACGACTTTGACAGAACACAGATGTAGGACTGTCTAAGCACACTCTTGCTTTCTTGTCATGAAGTCTCCAAGGCCTCAGCTAACATGCATGTGTACTTAACCTGTGGGGTTTAATGAGCTTAGCATGTTCTCTACCAGCCCAAGGCAGTTCACTTCTTTTAAAATGGACAGCCTGTACTCAGTTCTGTGATGGAAATGAGTCTTCCCCGCAGCGGGACGGGCGTTGGAAGTGCTCACTGTTCCATGCTGCTGTCTTGGACTGCCTCAGGCACAGTTCTTTACAATCTGAAGAACTGCCAAGCAAGCGCCTGCCCTGTTGTTTATATTTTTCCCTCCTCTCCTGAACTCTTGAATATACCATAGCATCAGTGGAATCCCTTGAGTTTAAGTGCTCAAGGTGCCAAAGAAAGAGGAAAGGGACTAAAGGCCTGGAAATGAGTATAACCATGTTTCATTCATTTCGAACTGAATGAAGCTGTTCACACTGTGTTTTGAGCCATGATAGAATTTTGAAAGTTCTCTCTTCAATAAATAGCACCAACTCTTTTAGCATTTATTGTAACTCAGACCTTTGGAGCATAGGTTTTCATGGACATAATGGGAATTACTTTATCTCTTTCCCCCAGGACTGACTTGACCTCACCTAAAAGCTTTTGGGCTGTAACCTGGTTCCATTATGGTCCCAGGAGCTGAGATTTAAAAGAAACCTATCAAAAAAGTTAGTTGGACAGAGATTCTAATCTGCCCCTTTTGACCAGCTCCATCCTGTCTCCCTCCTAAAAGACTTTAAGGAAAACTTATTTGGGCTTTCATGACTGTTACTTTTATTTTGGAGATGTGAAAGAGACATTTGCCATGGATTTTCAAAATGCACACTCCTATTTCTGTTTCTAATTTCAGAAGAGAGGTCAAATATACAAGTTTGTGTTGATATTAAAGAATTGAAATAGGCCTCTCTTGCATTTTTGAGGAAATGCTCTTCAGAATCTCTGGATTAGACACTCTGAAATAGCAGTTCATTTTTATTTCTTTCTTCCCTGATCAAGAGAGACAGTGAGGCAGGCACTTCCAATGGGATCCCCATACCATAATTCATCCCCAGATTCAACTACACTCCAGATCATAAGCGCACACACACATACCTGGAATGTTTAAGGAGGTTACCAGATGCAAACCCAGAACCCTCCATGTGGGTTAGCTTAGCAGAGTATTGCATTACTGTTGTACCATCCTCTGGCCTCTGAACAATGGTGGTGGTATTTTGATTTTTGCCATAGGGCATGTGCAGTTGCAGTTGCAGGAGAGAGACAGGGGAAAGTGAGAAATCTCACACACACACACACATACCCTGGGACAGTCACTCCACAATCTCTTTTCCTTCATTCTCCACTCAGGATTTTGGACACACACACACATGCAGCCTATGTGATTTTCAAGCTGCCAGGTTCGGGACTTGAACCATGGTTGGCCATGGGGGAATCCTGCACCTTAACTATCTTACAATGGTTCTTAATCTTTTTCTTTTTTTTTTTTTTATGGTTACTAGAGGGCATGTGTTGGTGGTAGCTACAGAGGGGGAAATAGCCCCCAATGGGATATAGTCACAGTACAGTCCCTTCATTTCTCCATCCTTCTGGGATTTTAGGCACATACACAAACATGCCTGGCATATTTTTCATGCTGCTGGAGCCAGAATTCAAACCACGCAGTCATCCATATGCAGTCTGGCTCCCTTAATGCATCCTGGGTTCATATCCAGGGACCTTTCTGAGGTTGCCAGGAGTGGGCCACGCCAATGATCTGCACTGTCTGAGACTTGGGGTGGATCATAGCATGAAGACCCTGTTGGGGGTTCCCATCTCTCTTTCTTGTGGGGGAGAGAAACTAGCCACGGTTCTTAATCTTTTGAGTCAGATTTTTCTAAGAATTTTATGAAGGGCTGGTCTTGTGGCTTAGTGTTGGGTCATTGGAGAAGTCATGATACGTTTTTGCATAGAAAAACAAAAATACTGGGGCTGTAAGTGGCATGGTGGTTAAGGGTGCTGGACTCCCACATGGCTGACTGTGGTTTGAGTCCTGTACCTGGTGACTTGGTTTCATACTTTCCTTCACTCTCTCTCTCTTTCACTCTGTCCCTCTCTGGTCAAATTAAAATAAATAAATAGGTAATATAAAATAAAATAATTTGTTTTAAAGAAAAACATAGAAAAATATGTCATGAGTTTATCAACAACCCAGTAGTTACAGGAGCTGGATCCCATATGTCTGGCTGTGCAGTTTGAATCCTGGCCTAGGCAGCCTGACAAACACGTTGGGCATCTGAGTCTTCTCTTATCCTGCTGACAGGATGAGCAGGGAGGTGCTTTCTTCATTTTATTTTCTCTGTCCATCGCTGATGTGTGCACGCATGCTTGGCTAAGAAAAAGAAGAAAACCTGATTTTGATGGTCAGATCTCTAGGCTGCGGTATCTCTCTTGTTTACAGATGAGAAACTGCTAAGATAGTAAGTTTCCAGTCTGTAATTTGTCCTTGTGGTTTGGAACAAAGCTGAGGTTGTTGGTGGTGTCACCTCCCTCTTTAAGGATGCTCCACAGCTCTCAGGAGACTCATTAGAAATGCCTTGAGGGTTCAACTCAGGAACTTAGGCACACTGAAACCAGCATTTCAGCAGCTTTTGGGGTTTATTGTACTAGCCAAACCCTACTCTTCATGTGAAGTGTGAATGCCCCTAAAGCTCCTTGGCTGGGTCCATAGAATCATTTGGAGCAGAGAGCTCCCATTCTAGATTGAGTATCAAAGCTAAACAAAATTGTTTGCTTTCCTGTGCTTTAAAAATAGGTTTGATTCCAGTATACTAGTCATGGATTCCTTAAAACAGGGATATGGTCTGAAAGTATGTTGTTGGGTGATCTTGTCGTTGTACAGTCATAGAGCGTACTTGCACAGACCCACGTGGAACCTAGGCTGTGTGAGCGGGCTCTTCAAAAAGTTCATGAAAAATGAGTACTAGGATTAAGACTGTGTAGACCTCAATTTTTTTGCACCAAAATAAACTTGTACTTTAATTCCATTTTTTTCTACAAATTTATTTGAAGTTAACTTGTGTATATGTAGTATGTTGTGTCTCACATGTAATTTTGTCACTAAGTGTCTAATGTAAAAATTGTGTGATGTCATTTCTAGGAGAAAGTTGAACTCATGTGGTGGCTTTGACTTACTTTTTCTAACATAGATCCCTCTCACAGGGGTGATATGAGAATACAAAGAGCTGCAGATGAGAAGTTGCAGATGAGAAGTTGCAGATGAGAAGTTGATGAGAATTTCCAGCAGATCAGTAGGCCCTTTTATAATGCCAGAACTAGGAGGTAAGGAAGAGACCTTTCAGTTGCATGGCCCCGTAGCATGGAAACGTAAGGCAGTGGACTTGAGACACCTTAGGCACCATGGGAGGGTAACTTGAATTTCTCACCATCAAAATAGACAAGTTTTAAACCCTTAGCATTAAAGAACATTCTGCCCAAAGTTGGTACTAGTATTCTGGTTTTCATATGCTCTTCATTTAAGAAATGTGAGGCTTTCACTTAAGGTGCTTGAGTGCGGGGACAGTGATGGATTGAACAGTTTGGTTTTGGAATACATGCTGGAACCCTGAAAGTAATAAACAAGAACTTTACCTGAGTAAATTCCTGGTTCTTATTCTGCAACCCTGGCTGCCCTTCCAAGCTCCATGCTCAACAGCTATATGTGTCCTTGTCTTTGAAACACACCTCATTTAGAATTACAATCTTCTGGGAACTGGGCCAATGCTTATGCTTGCCAGAAACTCAGGCTCTAGTTGATACTAAAATTTGTGTATGTCTTTTTTTTTTTTTTTTTTTTTTTAAAGTACTTGACTTAGGCAGAATTCAGGGAAAAGGTAGACCTTCAAAATTTTGCTGCTTTGGATTAGGTATTTTTATAGAAATAGCAGATGTGTTCAGTTGCACTGGTAATACTCAGCTTCCTTTTGGTGGCCAGGTGGTATCCAACTTATAATTCAATACATGAGTTTTTGTTTGTTGTTTTTAGTTTTGCTATAGGATATGTGTGCTTGGCAGAGAGAAAGAAAGGAAAGGTAAGAAATTGTTCCATTGAGACTAACAGATGGCGTAGTGGTTACATCCCTGGACTCCCAAATGGCCGACTGTGGTTCGAGTTCCAGACCTGGTGGCTTGAAACTCATCCTGGACGCATGTGCATGTTTGCCCAAGATCCCAGAAGGAGAAGGGACTGTGGCATGACTAACTCCCGTGGGGAGTGATGTCTCACTTCCTCTCTCACTCTCTCTCTGTCGAATGCATGTGCCCTATGGCAAAACAAAACAAAACTCATAAAAGAAAAAAAGAAATCATCCCCCAGGGGGATAGTCACACCATAGTTTCTTTTCTGGGGATCTTAGGCATACATCCACATATGCCCAGCTTGATTTCCAAGCTGCCAGATCCAGGACTCTAACCACACAGTTAGCCATGTGGAATCCAGTGCCTTAACCCCTACACCACCTGCTGGCCTAGTTAACTTAAGGTTTTAATGCCCTGCTTCTGAGCAACAGACTTCTTAGCAAGCAAAACATGAAGATTCCCAGTATTCACATCTTATGGGGAGTAGCCCAGCTGGCTTGTCTTACTGGACTAGATGAATCGTGAATGTTAATTATACTGATCAATACAGTGGCCTTGGTAACAGACTTGTAGCTGCTGTAGAATCTGTTTACTTCAGGTTTATAATAGAAAAGAGACCAAGCCAGTTGGGGACATGGTGTTCTCATTGTAATAAGCTGTATTGTAAGTCCAAGGAAAATGCATCCTCGAGGGGCTGACCTTATTGCACCCCTACCCCAGGATTTCCCAGAGGGAAGCATAGCTCTGGAGGTGGTTTCTGTCCTTGCTTGCCAATTGAGAATGAATCGAGGTTGACAAAGGCTTGGTTCTTGGGGGAGGTGGGATAAAGGATGTTTATAAATCCAAAGGGTTAGAAGGAGGGCACCTATGTTGAGACCCATCACATATTATTTCTCTACCTAGTGTGTAATTAGGAATGGAGAGATGATGAGGTTAATGCCAGTCCTAGCATGCAGGAGAAGGAATCCCTACCGTGTGGGGAGTAGCGGGCTCGTAATCCTGCACATTCTTTTCCAACTCCATGGGAGGGGATTAGTTTAGAGCTGGGCATGTTTGGAATGAGAGCACTTTGCCAGTTTTTACTGAATTTAGACCAAGTAACTGTAAAAATACAGTCCCTTTTTAAAAAGACAGGCTTTCTGTCATGTTCTCCTAACCTATTGGGAATGTATCTGATGGATAGTCTATACTTGACAGATGAGGTTGGTATTAAAGGTAGATTCTCTACTTCCTTTGCCCTATTTATCTGGGAACAAGAGGTATCTAACCTATTTGTTCTCTTTGTTCCTTGAAAGGCTGATAAACTCATCGCTCTTGTGTTTGCTTTTTCGGATCCTACCTAGATTGTTTCTTAGATCAGTACTTTTCACAGAGTGGGGAGGAATAGAAGGCTTCAGCTACCTGGGGGAGCTTTTTCAAAATATTCATTACCGGGACCAGCAGGTAGCATGATGGTTATGTCACTGGACTCCCACGTAGCCAACTGTAGTTTGAGTCCCGGACCCAGGGGCTCAAAACTCAGCTGGATGCATATGTGCCCAAAATACTGAGAGGAGAATGGAGAAGGGATTGCGGTGTGGACATCCCCCCGGAGGGGGCGATTCTTGCTTTCTGTCTCTCTGTCTCTCTCTAGTGAGTGCACACACCCTGTAGCAAAAAAAAAAAAAAAAAAAAACACCCTGTAGAAAAAAAAAAAAAAAAAAAAAAAAAAATTACCTGGGCTCCAAACTACTTGATCAGAATGGGGAAGAGGCTCTGGGTAAAGGGTCAGGTCGAGAATGGGTTGGCATTTTGAAACAGTTTCTCCAGAAAAACTTGAAAAATCCCAAATTTAGAACCATTCTTTTAGGCTACCTAGCAAAGTTGGCCAAAAATTGTTGCAGAATCCGATATTAGGTTGGAAATGTAGCCACCACCCATGTGGATAGCTTTGATGTGGAAAAATCTCATGTGCCTCATGTGAGAGGTCTTGAAAATAGTCTACCCTTAACTCCTCCTCCCCAAAGTTTCAGAGTAAGCCATGATCAGAAATCAGGGAGCCTTGCTTGACAGCCTGCTATGTTCCAGGATCTGTGCTAGGCACTTAGGATACATCAGGGAACAGAACAAATAATTCATACCCTATAGAGGTTATGTTCTTGAGAGGTCATTATTTGGACCATTTAAGTCTAGTGTAGTGGATCTTTTTTTTCCCCAAGAATTATTTTGACCAGAGAGAGAGAGAAAGTGAGAAAGCAAGCCTCCAGGTCTAGGACTTGAGCCGAGGTCAGCCATGTGGGAGTGTCCAACACCTTAACCACCACACCACCTGCTGGTCCCCTAGAATAGTGGTTCTTAACCATTTGGGGTTTGGAGTTCTGTCAGTGCTGTGTACATATTCCAGAAAAAACGCACACACACACACAGTTTGTATATAAGCGGAAGTTGGAAGCCTGAAACCCATCTGTGGATCCCAGGCTGAGAACGTGGAATATTTGTCTGGAATTAAGCCTCTGGTTACTGGGATAAAGCCAAGCCCTGAGTTGGGTGTTTGAGATTGTTATCTCCTAGCCGGGCTGGGTCGTATTTTCTTCATTAGCCAAAACAATTTGCAAAGAACACAAGAATGTCTGTAGAAAAAATAGAGAATGGCCAATCCTCTAAGTCAGCAGCATTTCTTGAGTCTATATTCTGTTTGAAGTGCTAAGAATGGTTCTGACTCTCTGTCCACACTCCCACCTCTAGTTTCTGGTTGGCTGAGCTTCCTGACTCAGTGGATTAAAAATCAGGTCAGAGTTAGCTGTACATTTCCTCCAGGCTAGGTCGATAGGGTCAGAGCCTGGCGACCATGCCTGCAGGCGTGCCCTGGCCCACCTAACATGAAAATGTTTGCAGCCAGCCTCCTGGCCATGTGCGCAGGGGCCAAAGTGGTACACAGGTACTACCAGCCCGACTGGAAAATACCTGAAATTCCACCAAAGCCTGGAGAACTCAAAACGGAGCTTTTGGGGGACCAGCAGTTAGCGTAATGGCTATAACGCTGGACTCCCATGTAGTCGACCACGGTTCAAGTCCCGGACCCAGTGGCTTAAACTCAAGTTGGGCACATGTGCGTGCGTGCCCAAGATCCCGAAAGGAGAATGGAGGAGAAGGGATTGCAGTGTGGCCATCCCCCGTGGGGGGTGATTTCTCGCTTTCTGTCTTTCTGTCTCTCTCTGTCTTTCTGGCGAGCGCATGCGCCCTATAGCCAAAAACAAAACAAAAAAAACACCTCTCCAAAAAAAAAAAAGAGCTTTTGGGACTAAAGAAGAGCCAACAGGAACCTCACATTTCTCAGCAGTAGAATCTTTAGAATACACCTCTGCCAAACATTCTGGGAATAAGATTATAAACCTTAAATAAGTATTTTTTAAATGTATTCAGTCAAACTATCCATCCTTAAGTACCTGACCCAATGCTAACTATACAGGGAGGTGCTCAGTAGATACCGACTGGTACCTGGAAATTAAATTATGGTTTGACTACTATTTCTTGAAAACTGCCAAGAGCATACTATTAGCTTCTTGAATGGTTCGGAAAACACTTAGTTTTTGTAATATCATGTGAGATAGAGTATTTGCAGTGTCTCTTGCTATTCTAATCCTGTTAATTCCTTTGATTAGCAAATGGGAATTATAAATTTTAGTATAATAAATCATTTTGACAATGAAAAAAAAAAATCAGGTCAGAATGTGAGATTTTCCTAACATGCCAATTAATATTATTAATTCCTAGAACAGAGTAATAGTAAAATTATAAATATCATTTTAGTGAAATCCTGGCTTCAAAATAAGGCCAGAAATTACAGAAGGAGTTGATTGATGGCTGCTGAAATAGCCAGAGTAAAGATTAAGAAAAATAATTAGGGGACCAGCAGTTAGCGTAATGGCTATGTCGCTGAACTCCCATATAGTCAACCGCAGGTGGAGTCCCAGACTCGGTGGCTTAAACTCACGCCGGGCACATGTGCGTGTGTGCCTAAGATCCCAAGGAGAATGGAGGAGAAGGGATTGCCATCCCCCCGGGGGGTGATTTCTCACTTTCTGTCTCTCTGTCTCTCTGGCGAGCACACGCACCATGTAGCAAAAATCTCTCCCAAAAAAAAGAATAAGAATTGGGAGAGGGGTGGGGAAGAAAGGCCAGAACTCAAAGCCAGTTGACTAAACTGGTGAGCAGGTAGCTAGGAA